ACCCGAGCCAGACCGGCAATGAGTGAGCAGTGCACCGCTTGATGAGCGGTCGTCCAATCAGCGAGCAGGCTTTTGCCGACGTCATATTTCAAGTTATTAAGTTGAATTTATAACTGCCAATTAGTGCACGCTTCTGCCAAAGCCATGTAACTAGATTGTTTCCATTCATCAGCGTATTCGCCTGGGGCGAAAAAGAAGTCTTGCCCGTATTTACTTTGTACGCTCGATTGCTCGCGCTAATCAGATTCCCGCCAGAAGTCAAACACCGACGATAACGAGGCTTCGCGTACCGCTGGCGCGGCGGACATAACTTTCCACACGGACGTAGATGGAGGGTCAGGGAATGTGGTGCACTTGTGTTGGATCAGGGTTAGGGTCAGTTAGGGCAGAGGTTAGGGGTTAGGGTAGCGTCACCTCATCTAACGCCCGAGGACGAGTGACACCCCTGGCGCGGCGGCTCTGCTTACAGGCTGTTAGTGGATTAGTGTAGCCGTGCTGGAACATAACGACTGTATTATACAGGTTACGATAGAAGCTATGAAAGGTTTAGCCGGAACAGGAAACGAGACTTGGGTCTTTCGTACGAATTGATAATTCGCGCTGGGAGGATTCTTGAGGGCCCCATACACTGTCACTGATACAGTTGCCGAATGCGTTCATTCGCCGGTGGGCTTCCTTACGGAGACGTAGGGACGTTTATTTTTGCTATTACTACGGTCATCGTACACGCGGGTACACGCACGTACACGCAGATACACGCACGTACACGCGGTTACACGCACGTACACGCGGGTACACGCACGTACACGCAGATACACGCACGTACACGCGGTTACACGCACGTACACGCGGGTACACGCACGTACACGCAGATACACGCACGTACACGCGGGTACGCGCACGTACACGCGGGTACACGCACGTACACGCAGGTACACGCACGTACACGCACGTACACGCAGATACACGCACGTACACGCGGGTACACGGAGATACACGCACGTACACGCGGGTACACGCACGTACACGCACGTACACGCGGGTACACGCACGTACACGTAGATACACGCACGTACACGCACGTACACGCGGGTACACGCACTTAGCTGAGAAACGCCGGCCGATTGCGTTCCTAGCAACGTACGCGCTACCGCGCCTTCCGTCATGCCTCGATCTGTGCGCATGTGCAGAGAGTATACGTTTGATTTGGCGATAGACGATCGAGCCTCGGCAATTACTCGATAGACGAGCCTCGGCAATTACTCGATAGACGAGCCTCGGCAAATGCTCCATATTCCACGATTCAATACGCCTGTATTCAGTATTCGTGCCTCTGATTTGTCAATTCGTCAAATCGTCAATTCGCGATTCAATTTGGCAATTCGTTATTAATTTGCTCATTTAAACGTTTGAATGATTAAACGACTGTTCAATTGAACAATCAATCGATCAATTGAACGTTTGAATGATTAAACGACTGTTCAATTGAACAATCAATCAATCAATTGAACAATAAATCGATCAATTGAACGTTTGAATAATTAAATTGACTGTTCAATTGAACAATAAATCGATCAATTGAACGTTTGACTGATTAAATTGACTGTTAATTAAATTGAATGGTTAAATTGAACAATTAATCAATCAATCAATTGAGTGACACATATCCCCTCCCATAAATTTCAGACTGGGGTAATCTCACTCTCAGACCGTGACACCGTAAATACATTTTTTTCTGTATTTACGGCAATCCCATCATGCAAAGCGCCACGGACAAGTGCACACCATAATGCACTGCGAAACTGGAAATGTTCAAGATGACTGCGGTCATGGCTGAGGCAGTGGGAGATATAACTAGAGTTGGGCAGGAATTCTCCTCGTTTGAAGAGTTGTCGAATGCAATCAAGCAATATAAAACCAACAGTTTCACTAATGTTTACATCCGCAGCAGTAGAATGCTTAAAGTTGGAAGGATGCGTGCTCCTAATCGTTCTTTTAGTGATAAGTTGAGGTACACTGAAATTGATCTAGCGTGTAAGCACGGAGGACGAAAGGCATTTTCGTCGTCGAAAGGAAAACGTCCAAACCAAAGGTAGGCTTATGTTTGAGATACACTAATTTACCCAATTCAGACATCAGAAATGTTAGGTGTATGTTAGGTCCGTGTGTTATTTCGCAGTGGCTACTGGCGAGTACGGCAGTCACACTACCGCGCATGCGCTGCATCCGTATTCGGAGACCATGCTTCAAAATGTCGGCAAGCTCATGTTTGGAATTGCCAGAATTTACGACAAATTCGCGATTTTCTTCCTATTCCGTATTGAAGAAAACAATTGCTTTGTACGAGGATACAAACTCATGTAAGCTATACGTTAGAAGATCGCGTACAATCGCCAACGCGCTCAAAAGGACGCCAAAAAGATCGTTCAATTCAGAATTGATTTACACGGAGTTGGATATCAAATGCATTCATGGAGGGAAGAATTTTATCAGCCGATCAACTGGCAAGCGCCCCAATCGGTCGTAAGTCAAATTCAATTATATTAGCGGAAACACGGTACGACGAGACAAGCCGAAAAAAAAATATTATGGTCGACCGCATATATACTATTACTATTACTAGTATTAGTATTACTAAATAATTACTATACTCCAGAGTCTAGACCAGTGCTTCTCAACCTTTTTTTCTCTTGTGCCACATAGGAACATTTTGGAATGAGTGTGTGCCGCACCAGCAATCAGTGCGATGACTGAAACTCCTTCTGCTCATTCATGAT